CGGCCGCAGAGGCAGCGGGGGCCGCTGGGGGCGCGGGGGCCGTCGGGACCTCGGGCGGGCCTGTTATCGCTGCCTGCGCGACGGCCGGCCCCCACGAGTGCTCGAGCTCGGCAGCCAGCGCCTGGGGCGCAACTCGGACCGGAGTATTTTCTGGAAGGACGAAGACAGACGACTGATCTGTAGTTGAGCCCTCTTTCGCCCTTGATCTTTCTCTTGACAGACTCACCCTACCCTGTGGTGTCTGAGCCGACGCGCCCGTCGACAGGAAGGTCGCGAGCACGACGGCACAGCCGATACAAGTCTTCATTGCACGTCTTTCCCCAGACGCCATTCTGTGGCGCAGACGTTCAACCCCTACACCAACACATGAGAAACATGATTGGGTAGAGAAAATAGACTTCGTTCGTATCAACTATTAGTCGCTTTTCCTTCTCGTTAACTCACCCAAGCTTGCACAGACTCAGTGGATGGTCCGCCCTCACTTGATCTGCTTGCAGGGGACCATCGCCCTTCAGGCTGAGAGCTCCCGCCCCCGTGCTGCTCGCCGCGGCTGCCGCCCAACTTCAGCCATACCCCACCTATCGGCGCTTGGCAGTGGAGAGGCGGGCGAGTCCGGTACCAGGCTCCCTCGGTGTACGTCGAGTCGCAGGGCGGGGAAAGGGACAGGCAAGCTACACCGCGTGCCTACCCTCTACGGGGACAGCGGCTTAACAGCTTGGCCAGGGCGGTTGTCCGATCTGCTCGTTATTGTCAAACCTCGGCAAAATGACGGTTCCCGGAAAAAGTGAAAATGTTTGTCCAAACCAGTGGTTATCCTACCCCGTTTGAGTCCAATTTCAAAAATAGGCTGAGGGCGTTTTGACGACGTCCCTGTTTGTAGTGACACAGTTGTAGCTACAACCGACACGGCCACTGGTGCCAACGACTGCGGTGGGATGGGGAAAGTACTCCCCCATGTTATTATTTTTATTTTTGTCCTGGTGGGGAGGAGGGGCGTATGAGCATTTACGAAGCCGAGCGGACTATTATTGTAGCTGTGCCAATTGAAGCTACAACTGTGTAGCAACCCTGTTTGTAGCTACACGATTGTAGCTACAGCCGACAGTGCTAGGGCAGATAAATATTTTATCTCCTTCACTTCTGTGGCAGCTGAGGTTGCTCAATTGGGACCAGTCTGAAACTGTCTGGGGTTCGACTCCCGGCCACCCCATAATAGTTTATTATCCTGATCATTTCACTATTGTCACTTGGCACTTCCCTGGCGTTGCCGCCTGGAGCCACACAACGATGCACGGGCGGGAAGCATCCCCAAAGGATCACATCCTGGACAGGTGAGGCGGGATTGCCTACCTCAGGAAAGAATTACATATCCCGCGACCAAGATATGTCGGTGAGTATGCCGTAATTATTGCTCTCCCCCTTTGCCGTGCCGCGTCCCCT